ACGGACGAATGGAGAGATTCTTCTTTGTTGATACGCATTTGTGATTGCATTGTTGTCAGATCAGCGCATCTGCTGATTGGATAATGCACAATGTCAACGAAGCTAAGCGTGTTCCCGGCATGCTTGCCATTCGGTGCACAGGCAGAGAGGGCCGCCCGTCGAGGGCACCCAAGCACGAAATGGAGGAGTGGAGGGATTCATTCTCGTTGAGACGCATTTTTTTATTGCAATGTGGTCAGATCAGCGCATCTGCTGATTGGATAATGCTTAATGTGAACGAAGCTGATGAAGTTCTCTGACCTTTTGTCAATCGGTGCACGAGCAGAGGTGGCTGCCCGCCGTGGGCGGCCCCAATGCGAAACGGACGAGTGGAGAGATTTGTCCTTATTGATACGCATTTGTGATTGCAATGAGGCCAGGTCAGGGCATCTGGCGATATGGTAATGCACGATGTGAACGAATCTGAGGATGTTCTCGCACTTTTTGCAATTCGTTGCCCGAGAAGAGAAGGCTGCCAGCCGAGGGCGGCCTGAGTGCGAAAGGGACGAGTGAAGAGAAACGTGTTACCCCTGCTCATTGGCTGCCTTTGCTACACTATACCACTCCTCATTTGGGATGGTGTAGCAAATGTGGGTTCCTTTCAGTCTCTTGTTTGAATAAATGACCACATCGGAAAAGGGCAACATGCTATAGTGACAAAAACCTCAATGACAACATGGAAGAAACGACAAGCATTTTGAAAAAAAAATAATCTGTAATCTCACTTCTGTCGCAAGTGTGAAGGGTGCAGCCTAACGATGGTCACATGGAACAACAAATTTCGATGCAGGCGTGTACTTTCCTATTCAGTTGTGACGCTTCCGCCCGCCCGCTCCCCCCCCCCCCCCGAACATGGGCAAAAGCCCCTTCCGTCTTTGGTAGAAATATGGGCGAAATCCGGGGAAATGCCGGTATTTGCGAAACTTTGGTGGTAGTTTCATAGTCCTCTGATAACACTATTTTGGGAAACTACGCCCCTGTTCCGACCTGATCGATTATAACAGTTTTGTCCTGCACAACACTCTGTGTCAAAAACTGCCCTTTCTTCTTTCCTCCTGCCGTAAGGGGCCATGAGCTGCCACGTAAAGCTGTCGTCTGCCATCCGTAAGGGTATGGCTGAGCGTCGAGCCTACTCTCCTTATTACTTCCTTCTTTCTATCTTTCTGTATTTTCTCTTATCGCCAACCCATCAGCACTAACCTAACAAGCAAAGTCGTTTAATTGAAATACAACAGATGCACATTACACGGTAGTATGAAAAGAAACAATGGCTGATGTGTCTTAAAGCTGAGCGAAGTTGCCAGAGAGTTAACATATTGATGACTGGAGCTCTAGAAATAACCAAAACTGTCATGAAAAATATTCGCCCAGATGTTGCTATCTAAAAAGGTATTCATTACGCTTCACAGTCTGTCGAACAGACCGTTCCGTGGTGCCTGCACAAGGGCGCGAAGTACAGCAAACAAAGATTGGATGCGGATCGATCGAGGCGGCACAAGAAGAAGGAACAGCTGAGCAAGATTGGAGAGTCCACTTTACTTTGAGAAGACGTTTCCCAGAAAGAGCAAATCGTGCTGCACTCATTGTGCTGCCAGTGATATAATTTTGAAATGATGCAGAAGGCTGACATAAGACAGGGGCGCTGTTCGCCCGGAGATTGTAAACAAATAAGAAACTGCACTGCACCCGATCAAACTGCACAAAACTGCACAACTGCACAACTGCACCCGATCGACCCGCGCTATGCGAGAACTGGCCGTCCCCGTCCAGTCCACGCTACAATATTCGAAAACCGGTTGCATACTTGCAAAATACGCGGTCATCACTGTGCATTGGCTTAATTTCAACCTATTGGTACCGGCTCTTGCCACGCTTTTAGTGATATTATGGTGTGTCACCATGTTACTGACTAGAAAAACAGTTTTGTTAGGATATTTAAAGAGTAGGCTTATTTGCTTCCGCAATCAAAAGCCCAAAGCACGTAAGTTCAATCTGAAGGATTCATTCCACGTGACGTCGGCGTCATAACGGGTCACTTATTTGACACCATTCTCGGTACGTAAATGCACCATTCGTGTTGAAAGGCTCTGCGAGAACGCATGCCGGATTTGCTATTGGGGCAAATGTCAAATGTCTACGTCATGCTTATAACCAGTGAATTTAGCTCGCCGCAGACGAAATACAATTCCTTGCGTTACCTTGCCTTAGAGTGATTTGAAATTTAACAGGCAAGGGACCCAGCGCCCAGACCGACGTGGAGTCCTCTGTTCAGTATTGGTGGTTACCCCAGAAACCCCCAGAGGCGCATTCAGAGCTCGGGCCGACTCCTCCCCTCCCGGGGTCTCCATCTTTATTTTAGCATCATAAAAGGCCTTTTTTCTTGTGATCATTGCTCGCCGACTTTTGGCCCCACCTTAAAAAGGTACTGGCTGCGCCTCTGGAGCCTGATGGACGCATGATTCCCTTCAGCTGGCATTTCAGAGCCCATCTTGCGGGCCGTTGTCGGTTATTCCCAGCCATTACGACTCTTGGTTCGACCTTCGGACCCTTCCATGGGTTTCTTGACCGCTGGTCGCGACTTGGTACATAGGACCCCTCGGACTTAATGCGTCTGTGAGGAGGGGGTACACTCCCCAGCCTCTACCCGCCCCCCCCCCCCCCTCATCCGGCCGCCCCCGCCTACACTGCTGTGTAGAGATTTCGTAAATATATTGCCGAGCTGGATCGGCAGAATCGTCGGTTGCCGATCACCACTGGCAGGTATTTTTCATATATGCGTTTCTAGGCAACCAATGTAAACAGTGTGAACAGTAGCGCTGACAGATTCCGGTTGGTTCATCTTATTTCACGACATTCTGAAGCACAAGCGACATATTGAAAAAAACGCGTTTTGCCTCTCCCGATTGCCATCTGATAGCGTAAGGCCGCAGGGTGCTTGCTCCCTCGTTTTTATCCTATTATCTCCGCTTCTAGAATATGTGGTGTTGGAGTTGTCTTCAGAGCTGTGACACCTTTGTTTCTGTTACGTGATAGTTCCTTAGCTGTAAGTTTCATGTACGATTCCTATCTCTATCTCTGTTACCAAAGGATGTGTGTGTGTGTGTGTTTGTGTGTGTGTGTGTGTGTGTGTGTGTGTGTGTGTGTGTGTGTGTGTGTGTGTGTGTGTGTGTGTGTGTGTGTGCGTGTGCGTGTGCGTGTGCGTGTGCGTGTGTGTGTATGTGTGCGTGTGTGTGTGTGTGTGCGTGTGCGTGTGCGTGTGCGTGTGCGTGTGTGTGTATGTGTGTGTGGGTGTGTATGTGTGTGTGCATGTGTGTGGGTGGGTGGGTGTGTATGTGTGTGTGTGTGTATGTGTGTGTGGGTGTGGGTGTGGGTGTGGGTATGGGTGTGTGTGTGTGTGTGTGTGTGTGCGTGTGCGTGTGTGTGTGCGTGTGTGTGTGTGTGTGTGTGTGCGTGTGCGTGTGTGTGTATGTGTGTGTGGGTGTGTATGTGTGTGTGCATGTGTGTGGGTGGGTGTGTGTATGTGTGTGTGTGGGGGGGGGTGTGTGGTGTGGGTTTGTGTGCGTGTGTGTGTGTGGGTGTGGGTGTGGGTGTGGGTGTGTGTGTGTGTGTGTGTGGTTTGTGTCCATTGGTTCACCTGCGGGCCAAACGTTCAGAAGTTTTTGCATGAAACTTACCCACGACAGAGATCTGCCGTCCGCGCTTGACAGTTGCGTCAAAATTCTGCATTTTTCTGCATCTGCAATTCTGCAAAATTCTGCAAATGGGCGCTCGCGCGGGGAGCTTACAACTTTGTTTATTAAGCACCGCTTTACATTAAAGAAGAAGCAAGCTAGCTTGTCTTCAGGCTGTCCGGAAGTTGGCCGGCAGATGGCGGGAGGGGGGGGGGGGGGGGGTGGCGCAGCGATCCCGCCTGGGGCGTGGCGGTCGGCGGTGCGCTGCGCTTTGCGGTTGCCGGGCGCGCACAGGTGTGGTTTCTGTTGCGACGGGCCGAGTTTGAAAAACCGAAGCCGAATTCAAGCTGCCACCGTCAAAATCATGCGTGATTTAGCTTTGAAAACCACATAGGCGTGTTGGCCGGCTCATTGTCTCTCTTTACCCTACCTTTGCTGATTGCATTTTTGCACATGTCGTTCGCAAATGAGTCTAGATTGATGGGTTACACGGTGGCTTATTGCGCCGCGACGGGACGGCGTCGTTCGGTGTCTCGGCCGACGCCGGAGTTTGCTTCCAGGTTAAACGGCCGTCTGATGACGTGATTAGCTGCCGTAATTTATTACCTCCCACCGATTATGCCATCTGGCACTAAAATATCGACAGCAATGGGTTCCAGCCACGACGCGGGTATGGCACGAAAAGGTGTACCGTGCGAAAGGGTACGTGTCACGTGCCACATGCTTTTTCTCTCTTCCACGGGCTTGCAGGTTGTGTGCCGCATCTCGGCTTTCTGGTGATACATTGGCTGTTTTGGGTTTCTGATTCATTCGATGATCGGGGTGTGTATTTTGGTGATGTAAGTGTCGAATCTCGATGGTGCTGAAGTTAATGTTCCTGAGCGGAGTCGTGATGTCTCACTGCGCAGCATCGCGGTGCCTTCGTGCTGATCTTTTGCTTCTGTTGTGGCATGTGGCGCACCTCGATCGCCGCGGCTCGGACAGCATCCTTTCGGTGCCGGCGAGCGATCGCTGTACAATAGTCCGTGCTGCGGTGTGATGCTTCAGTCGGCGAGGATCAGACGCCTCAAGAGTCAAGCTGCATATCGACGTCGGCTGGAGGTAAGATATTGGCGGAATAAGTCTGATATTCACCGATTAGCAATGTCCTTTATCCTCAATTGGATAATGCGAAGCTGAAGGTAAGTCGATTAGATCCGGGCGAAATAAGACTGATGTTCATCGATTGGCAATGCCGTTGCTTTCCAGCTGAGCCCCCCGCCCCCCTCCCCCCCCCCGCCAAAAACAAAAATGTGTCGTAGCGCGCAGTGGGATATAAGGATTACATTCGGTGTGGCACGTCAGAAACAACAGCTGCACACCATCATCACCACCAATATTGTGTGCGGACCGTGCGGCACCCTCCGTCTGACGACGCCGTGCATGGTGGACGGAGCATGCAAGAAGCAGTTCTCAAAGGCCTTACGGTCCATCACGGAGGTGGACGATACGGGATACCCCCGGTACCGGCGCCGCAGCCCCTGTAACGGAGGACGCATGGTGCAGCTCGCCGGCCCGCCGGGCGGCGCCGTCGACGTCGACAACCGGTGGATTGTGCCCTACAATCCGTTCCTCAGTCGCGCCCTGGACGGCCATGTCAACATGGAGATCATCACCCACGCCGTCGTGTGCATACGGTACGTCATCAAGTATGTCACCGAGGGCGGAGACCAGGTGATGTTCCGGGTGTCGGCTGGGGACGAGGTGGTGGACGAGATCGCCACCTACCAGCAGGGCCGCTACCTGAACGCCATGGAGGTGGCGTGGCGGCATTTCGGCTACCCTGTCCACAAGCACCAACCGCCAGTGCAACAGCTGTCCGTCCACCTGGGCGGCGACGACCAACAGCTGCGCTTCCGCGCCGGCGACAGCCCGCGTCAAGTGGCGGAGGACGCTGGCGCCGACACCAAGCTCACCGGCCTCTTCAAGCGGTGCGCGGAGGACGAGTTTGCCCGGACTCTGCCCTGCCACAGTGTGCCGCACTACTACACGTGGCAGACGGGAGCTCGGTGCTGGCGTCGGCGCCGCCGAGGCACGCCGGACGTTGCCGGCATCTTCGCCGCTGAAGCCATCGGTCGCGTCTACGCCGTCAGCCCGCGCGCCGGGGAGGCGTTCTTCCTGCGCCTGCTCCTCCACAACGTGCGTGGGCCGCGCTCCTATGAGGAGCTGCGCACGGTGGATGGCCAGGTGAGCGCCACCTTCAGGGGCACGTGCTCGGTACACGGCTTGCTGGAAAACGGCCAGCACTGGCACCGGGCCATGGAGGAGGCGGCCGTCGTCGCCCTCCCCCGCCAGCTGCGGCGGCTGTTCGCCGTGATTGCCGTCGAAGGCCGTGCCAGCTGTGATCTGCTGCGGCTGTGGCGCACCTTCCGGCACGCCATGTCCGAGGACGTGCGCCACCGGCTGTCGCGGGTGGGCGGCGGCGGCGGCGTCGGCGACACCGAAGACATCGACGAAGTCGACGGCAGTGGCGGGGACACCTAGACGCTGAACACGAACCTGGCATGCGACTCATCTACGACGCGACCCTGCGCCTCATCGGTCGTCATCTGCGCCGCCTCAGCGGCCAGACGCAGGCCGACGTCTGCCTGCCGCGGCCAGACGCTGGCCGACGTCTGCCTGCCGCAGCCGGCCGACGCTCCAAGCCAGCCGATCGTCGAGGACGGCGGCGAGGCGCTGGGCCGCCAGCGTGCGCACGTGTCCGCCCGCCTGCCGCTGCTGACCGACGAGCAGCGCCTCGTCTACGACGAGGTCATGCGGCGGTTGGACGTGGGCGACGGTGGTTCCATGTTTCTGCAGGCACCCGGAGGTAAGTAAGCAACCGCACTTTCAGAAGCGCAAAGTTTTGCGATTGCATCACGCAATCTGTGTCGTCAATGACGTCCGCAACCCCGCAGGGGCATCGGCTTCGGCCGGTATAGGGGACTAGCGCCCCCTCGGGTCCTAGCTCCGGTAACGGGTGGACAGCGCAAGCTGTTCCTCTCAGGGCGTAGCGACCCTGCCGGTACGTGAGCTCCTGCTCCTTGTCCCGCCCCGCACCCTCCACATTACCCGCACTCTCGCATCCGGCCCTATCACCACTCCTCATCCTCGTTTTATCGGGGTCGCCGTGCCACCTTGCCTACGTCCCCAAGTTGATCGGATTCTGGTGCCTGAGGGGTGCGTCGTGCGGGTCAGGGGGCCTGTGGGGACCCCACACGGGTCTAGCGGCTTGTCGCTCGCGTTGCGGTTGGTTGCTCCTTGCTTGGGTGCTGGGTGGTCTGTGCGGATCTCCGCTTAGGGCGCCTGGCCGCGCGCAGCGGCTTAAGGGGTCAAGGGACGGCGGCGCTGAACCACGGTCAGGACGGGAAGCGGTCTCCCCGGTTACATCTGGCCGTGTGGGAGGCCTCGTTCGCCCCGTATAGCGCCGCGGTAGCCCTGGAGGCACCACCACCCCCTGGGTGAGTGGGTCGTCCCCCAGTGGGGCTCCGAGGTGGGTGCGGAGCCTCGGTGTCGCACGCTAAAACCTCACATGCCTGGCAACTTTCATCTAAAAAAACGCCCACACCCCGAAAGGGGGTGGACTGAAGCTACAGGTGGTAGTGCGTCAGCGCCTACCCCTCGAATCTTGATTTTCTGAAGCGCAGAGAAGCCGCTGTCGTCCCTTTCGCCCTTTCAAAGGCGAAATGGGTGTGACCGGTTTGTAAAGGTGCTCCGATGCGACAAGCTCGAGGACGGTGGGATCGAGGTTGAGTTCCAGAACGGAGAAGAGGCGAACGGGCCAGGACCTCGGATAGGTTTGTGTACTGTGTGCGTGATGCGGAGGGGAAAAAGGACGTGCCAGTGACGATGGCTGTGGAGGTCCATAGGACAAAGAACTCGTCAAAGGGTATCATCAACTGTTTTGACCTGAGAGATGTCAGTGATGAGGAAATAGTCGACAGTCTCGCTGAGTTCGGGGGGGGGGGGGGGGACAGATGCTCGCCGCATCAAGGTGCGCAGGGGTGCGGAGCTGGTCCCCACGAACAACATCGTGCTGACTTTTAATCGTCCTGACATACCATCTGAAGTAAGTGTAGGCTATGTGAAGGTGAAGGTGCGCCTTTTTATTCCGAACCCCATGAGATGTTTTAAGTGCCAAATGTTTTGACATACGAAGGACTTCTGCCGCAACCAGCCAGCATGTGGTAAGTGTGCTTCTCCGGAGCACCCGAGTGATCAGTGCACTGCAGCGAACCCATGGGGTGTGAACCGTGGGAAAAACCAGAAACCTCACTTAACTTTCGGTCGTGCATGCCCGGCGTACGCCAGAGAGAAGGAGATCATCGCACTGAAAACCACGAAGAACATCTCATTTCGGGAAGCAAGGGAGTTGTATGAACTGAGCCACCCTTAGACATCATATGCCACAGCGACCAAGGCTCCTGTCCCACCTGAGGTCTCCTTAGACCAGATGAATGGAACGCAGTTCATTAAACTGCTTACATCGTTCGTGCTGTCGGTTGTACCGGCGTCTCAGGTGCACGCCACAGCATCGGCAACATCGTCCCTCATCTCGATGGCACCCTGTGCCCTCTCTGAGACACAGGCCAGCTCGCCAGTTGTTACCTCGCCGCCTCTCCCCACACCGGCGGAAATCAGTGAGTGGATCGTAGTCCGCCGGAGCCGAACTTCCCGGTCTTCGCCGGTAAGCACGCGATCACCGGCTTCACAGCCGTGCTCCCCAGGAACATCACATCCTACAACACTGAGTGAGACGATGGGACGAAAACTGGACAACTTTAAGCGCCATGAGGCGGAGAGACGGACGCGCGAGGCAAAGCGTGTATGCCTTTAGGAGCAAGAGAGGGCGAAGGCAGTCAGTCGGCTGTCGGGTGCGGGCCTCGGGCCTGCTCCCACGGGGGAGGTAGTCCCCCCCCCAAAAAAAACGTGTGGAAGCTCCCTCAGGCCCCTCCGACTCGCAGAGAGACCCGTCTATGGGTCCTCCGCCACCACCGCCACCTAGGACCACGGCGTCGCCGGCCCCGGCCCAGTTTAGGACGAGGCGCCCGGAAAAGCGTGGACCGCCGGGGCTGATTTCGCCAACAGATGGAGGTAGTCCCCGGATCCGGCCCAGGATCTGCCCGATCTCTTTGGGTTCTGAGGGCAGGACCACCAGCCGTGGGCCAGGCTCTAGCGCTGCTGAATTCTTTTGAAACCTTACAGCGCTTTTGAAGCCTCTTCATTGGGCCAGTTTTACAGTGGAACCGTGGAGGTGTAAGATCAAGCACCCAGGAATTGCAGACAGTTTTAAGCGCGCACTGTCCGGTAGCCGTATGTCTCCAGGAGACCAAGTTGGCGCCTGATGCGGCCTTCAGCCTGAAAGGGTACACTACCTTCCGTACTGACATGTCAACAGACACCATTGCTTACGGTGGCGTTCTGTGGGCTGTATACCAAAGCATACCAACACGGCGTCTGGTGTTCAGAGCAGACTTGCAAGCTGTCGCGGCAAAGGTGAATTTCAACCGACGCGCCATAACTGTCTGCTCTCTCTCTGCTTGCCACCTGGGGTTTCATTTTCATCTGGAGGACTGCGAGAGTTAGTCTCTCAACTTCTTCCCCCTTTACTCGTTTTATGCGATTTTAATGCACATCACACTTTGTGGGGGTGTGCTTCCACGAACACTCGCGGTAGGCTATGTGAGGCTTTCGTGCGTGACGAAGGTTTGTGTGTTTTAAATACAGGAGCAAGAACGCGTTTTACATTGCCATCAGGACAGTCGTCAATGCTAGACCTGAGCATTTGTAGTCCGCAGTGGGTACCACACTTCACCTGGGATGCCTCAGAGGACCCCCTTGGAAGTGACCATTTGCCGGTCTGGGTTCGGTACCGTGGTGGTACTGTTCTTGGTACTCGACCTCAGTGCTGGAATTTCAAGACGGCGGACTGGAGTGAATTTGAGACTAGCCTGGAGGAAACCTTTTCTAACGATTTCGACTCTGCAACTCCGACTACGGAGGAATTTACGTTTCTCGTTTTGGATGCCGCGAAAGGATGCATTCCGCGCACCTCCGGATGCCCTCGTCGCACCGCTGTACCTTGGAGGAACGACGAGTGTCGCGACGCTATTCGTGCACGTCGGAGAACTTTTAGGGCTTTTGACCGGCACAGCAGCACATTCAACCTCATGGCTTTCAGGCAAGCACGCGCGGCCGCACGCCGCACTACACGAGAGGCGAAACGTGCATCATGGCGCAGCTACGTCAACTCACTGAATCGCCACAAGCGCCGACGTCACATGTATGGGGCCGCATTAAAAGAATCGCCGGACTGGATCCACCAGTTTCTCTTCCCGTACTGCGAGTGGGAAGCCAAGACATCACTCACCCAAGTGATGTCACGGAAGCCATTGGGGAAGTCTTGTCAGACTGTTGCCGAAATGGCACCTGCGATCCACGGTTTTTGCGGCCCCGGGCGCGATGTGAAACATCGCAAGTTAATTTGTATACGAGGGACATCCTGACGTACAACAAGCGTTTCGCTATGATGGAACTTGAAGCTGCCATTCGCTCGCTGCGTAGTGTAGCGGAGGGGCCCGACCTCATCCATAATGATATGGTACGGCATTTTCCTCTCCGTGTACTACGAGCGTTGCTGGCACTTTTCAACTGTATACGGGAGTCAGGTAACTTCCCGCCAAGCTGGCGAGAGGCCATAGTAGTGCCTATTTTAAAGCCCGGGAAAAGTGGAACGAACGCCCGTGACTATCGCCCGATCGCCCTCACATCTTCGCTTTGTAAGCTCATGGAAAGAATGGTGAATGTGCGGCTCTCATGGACTTTGGAACGTCAAAACTTTTTCACGAATGCTCATGCGGATTCCGTAAGAACAGGAGCACGATTGAACACATATTGACCCTTGATACCGCAGTGCGAGCCGGTTTTATTAGTAAACGCCACACCGGTGCCATCTTTTTTTAACATAGAAAAGGCCTATGATACCACATGGAGACATGGAATCCTAATAAAGTTACTCGATTGTGGCGTCCGCGGTCACATTGGAAAGTTTTTACACAACTTTTTGACCAGGGAGCTAGAATCGCTTTTGAACTAGGGTGCGAGTGAAAAATGTCATCGCAAAAAGACTATGCGGGAGTGAAAAAAATCAATTAAAAAAGATGGAACTTAGAGCTCGATGGAATGAGCTAGAGCTAGATGCTTCAGTAAACAAAGACATCTCTTTCAAGTTGGCATGGACGCAATTTTAGGAACCTGACAAAACCATTTCGTTTTTTAACATCTTAGGCCATTAAAGTGATACAGAATACATTAACACGCGCTCGGGTGGGGGGGGGGGCAAATTAACCCCCCGAAGGCTTTTCCCGAATGGTTTCTGAACGGCGCGGCGTATCCGCGCCAAATTTTGCATAGCTGTAGAAAATTGCATAGCAGATCGCTTGACATACCAATTTTAGATGTACCCTGTACGGTCGCTGACCTATGACAGGTCAAGTCATACAAGT